TGCATGTGCAGACATGCAGCCGAACGCGACTTCGTCGCGATGCTAAAATTTACGATCTCAAACATCCCGCCCGCCTCGTCATGCTTGACGAAACAGGACGGTGTGTTCGATGGCTCGCTAGATGAGGCGCCTGACGTCGCGGTCGACAGAATCGATATGCGATCGATTTCACTGAACGCAATTTCGGCGCGTGGTGCAAGCGAGCGCCAGCGGCGTGGCGCGCCTGCGCAGTGTCACAACGTGCGACGATCCCGAGCAAGACACATAAATATTCGCGATATATGCGTAACGCGAGTTCGTGGTATGTGAAAGTGATGCGCGAAAGTAATTTTACGACGTGAACTGTGAATTGTGGCAGAAGACCAACGAAGATAATTAAACATTGGCAGAGGGCCGACAAAGACAATTGAGCATAGGCTGAGGGCCGATAACAGCAATTAAACATAGGCTGAGGGCCGAGACCGACAATTAAACAATCGTAAATGTCGAGTGGCTCACGCATCCGTCGGCGGCGGCTGGTCCTTGATCCAGGGAAGTAGCACGAGCTTGCACAGCGGGCGCACGAGCTCTGAGGTGGCTGTCCGAATCTTTGCAACGCGGACCACGCCGTCGTCCCCTGGGTGCAGTCTCACGATCCGGGCGAGAGGCCATCGACTCGGCGGAGTGTTCTCGGAGCGCACGAGGCACAAGGCTCCCACGTCCGGGACGTCCTCGGTTTTGTGCCACTTCGGCCGGGCTGTCATCCCGTGGATATATTCCCGTGACCATCGAGACCAGAAGTGATCGCGCATTTTCTGAATGTGCTGCCACCGGGATAGCGTGTCGTCGGCAGTCTCCTCGAGTGAAGGCTCGGGCACGGCCAGCAGCGGGGCGCCGATCAGGAAATGCCCCGGTGTGAGTGCGGAAATATCGTCCGGGTCGTCAGATAAAGCCTGCAGCGGTCGTGAATTCAGGCAGGCTTCGACTTGTGCGAGGAACGTGGACATTTCCTCGAAAGTGAGTGTGCTCTCTCCGATCACTCGTCGCAGGTGATGTTTCGTGGATTTCACCGCTGCCTCCCAAAGTCCGCCGAAGTGTGGTGCGGCAGGCGGATTAAAGTGCCATTTCACACCTTCGGAGGTGACAGAATGGGCGATGTGACGGCCGTCGGCGGATGACGCGCGGAACATATCTTGGAGAACTCGGTCAGCGCCGACGAAATTGGTGCCACAGTCCGAGTAAATCTCCTCGCAGAGGCCTCGACGTGCTGTGAAGCGACGGAATGCAGCCAGAAATGCATCCGTCGTATAGTCGGAGACCACGTCGAGATGCACGGCCTTGGAGCTGAGGCAGACGAACACGGCGATGAAGGCCTTGTGGGCCTTGTGCCCTCGTCCCCGGCTCGTGCGGATGAGAATGGGGCCGGCGTAGTCCAAGCCGGTCCGGAGGAACGGGCGCGCTGGTGTGACTCGTCCTCGAGGAAGATTTCCCATAGGCGGCTGCGGTGTGGCCGCTCGCCATTGCGTGCACGTGACGCACCGATGCAGCATCTGTTTGACCACGGTCCGACCTCGAGGGATCCAGAATCGAAGGCGGAGGAGCCCGAGCGTGAGCTGCACTCCCCCGTGCAGCGTTCGACGGTGGCAGGAGTCGATCAGTAATCGAGTGAGCCATGAAGATGGTGGGACGATCATTGGGTGCTTCTCATCGTGAGGTAGCGGAGCGTGCTTCAAGCGTCCTCCTGCTCGTAGCACGCCGTGGTCATCCAGGAATGGATTTAAGTGCACCAGTGAGCTCCTCAGTGGTACAGTGCGGTTGAAGGCGACTACGGTGACTTCGGCGGCGTAGTGCAACCCTTGCACCACGCGGAGCCACAGAAACAGTGCCTCATCTATCTCGTCAGGTTGAAGCGTGAGCGTCGTGCGGGCGACGGAGTGTCGCCATCGAGAGCACCAGGCCGTGACTCTCAGCAGCCGGTGCAGGGATGAGAACCTGAGTAGCATGTCAGGCTCGACTTCAACCTTCTCAGTGGCGGCTTGCACCACGACTCGTTGTTCGGGCATCTGGTCTGCGGGTAGTTCGGAGTCCTCGTTCGGCCAGTGAGAAGGGTCCTCCTGGAGCCAGGCTGGACCCGTCCACCACAAGGGATGGTGCAGTAGCTCACTTGGTGCGATCCCCCTTGAGGCGCAGTCGGCTGGATTGTCCCGCCCTGGGACGTGTCGCCATTGAGCGTCGGGAATCTGCGTCTGGATGTGAGCCACGCGGTTTGCGACGAAGGTCTTCCAGCGGGAAGAGTGCCCTCGGATCCACTGCAGTGTGGTCTTAGAGTCTGACCAGAGGAAGACAGGTGCTGTGGACAGACTTAAAGTGTTGCGATAGTGCTTTGCGAGATTCGAAAGTGACGCGGCGGCACACAGTTCGAGGCGCGCCAGTGTCACTTGCTTCACCGGTGCCACTTTGCTCTTGGCGGCCAGGATGTGTACAGCCTGGAAGTTGTCTGAGGAGACGCGGAGGTACACGACTGCGGCATATCCTCGTTCGGATGCGTCGGCGAAGCCGTGTATTTCCAAGTGCTGGTTCTCGGTGCCAGTGCCGAGCCAGCGATTCACGCGGAGGCCTTCGAGCAAAGGGAGTTCCTTGAAGAGGAGCTCCCAGCGGTGAGCGTCGGCGGAAGGGAGCGGAGTATCCCAATCCAGCTGCTGCAGCCATGCAGACTGAATTAATATCTTGGCGCGGATTATGACCGGAGCGAGCCATCCCAGTGGGTCGAAGAGACGTGCGGTTTCCGCGAGGACGTGTCGTTTCGTGTACTGAGTTATCGTGCGCGGGTGTATCGCGAACGCGAAGCTGTCCTCGCTCGGGTACCAAAGGAGGCCTAACGTGGTCTGACTTTCGTTCTGCCAAGAGTGCGGTTCTTGGAACAGACGGTGTTCCCGGGGAATGCCTTCTAAAGCTTCCTCGCAATTGGACGACCACTTCCGAAGCGGAAACCCGCCCGCCATGCAAAGTTCGCGAAGTTCCGTTTGCAACGCGATCGCGCCGGGTATTGTGTCCGTCCCCGTCTGGACGTCGTCGACGTAACGGTCCTCGAGCAGTGCGACGGCGCCCTGCGGATATCGCGCCTTTTCGTCGTTAGCCAACTGAATAAGTGACCGGATCGCGAGAAACGGTGAACACGCGAGGCCGTACGTCACCGTATTCAGGAGTAGTTCGCGCAGTATCTCGGTCACCTTTCGTCTCCACAAGATTCGCTGGAATCCGCGGTCTTCAGGGTGCACGAGGATTTGGCGATACATCTGTTTGATGTCCGACACGAGTGCCACGCGGTACCGGCGCCAACGCGAGATCACGTCGGCGAGCGCGGGCAAGAGATTAGCTCCAACGTGTAAGTGAGCGTTCAACGATTCACC